AGACAGCCGCCCGCGGCTAAAAATACTTATTGCTCTTAAATGTTTAATAACTGTTGATCCGCTGATCCGATTCATACAATTCAAAGATTGGCATAAAGAAGAGAATCTCAGCTTTCCAGTGCTGTATCACATAACATTCGGACTTTCAGAGGCTCCGGAATCAGTGCGTTTACGTCATCAAAATTTGACAACGCTGATTTGACAAAGAAACACTCGTCACTGTGTCTCTGGATAAACCAGACATGATACATTGATGCATTGTCCCTCCTCCATGCCCAGATTGGTTCAAACTCGCTATATCACAACCAATAAGCATAGGTTTCGCTTTTGTTTGTGGACCAACAATGAGCTTTTTGAACAACACTGAATGAGAGATAGGCATACATTTATGCGCGGCTAAATAAAACGCAAAAAAAAAGTTTTGCATGAAATAATTCTCATACTAAGTACTTTTGCATGCACAGCAGCACAGAAACATGACAAAACAGTGACACAGCAAAGACGAACTGCTGCTCTTGCTGTTTTCAAAAGACGCAAATGAAGGTGAAGCTGTTTGTCTGCATTGCAGACAACCATATCCAAATCCTTATCCACAGACAACCATATCCATGCTGGCACATAAAACCTAAGGATGTTCCATATTGAATCTAGTTTCGTTATGTAACTATTTATAGTATAGTAAATATTTATATCTATTTTTTTACTGAGGATTTGCACCATGTTTATTTGGACTTTATTTGGACTTTGACACATTATTTATTATTCTATTATTTTTTTATTTGTTCATTGTAAGTGGTGTTGTTTATAGTAACTGAAAATATATTATTTGGAAAAAGTCAAATTTGCTTCACTGTTCTATTATTTTGTAACATTTTTAACATACCGTATACCGTGAAACCGTCAAACCTTGGTATTGTTTTAGACGATTATCATACCGTAAAAAATTCCTACCGTTACAACCCTAATGTGAACATAAAGAGTTAATCAGATACAGTACAAGCTGCGTAAAGCGATTACAGTAACAAAACACAATTAAATGCATTTTTTACAAACTAAAGAAAATAAGGAGGCAACCATTTTAATCGCACTTACACTGGTAAGATGGAGAAAGAAACGGATCCATGAACTGTGTACTGCTACAGTTCCATACATCAGTAGTCTTTTCTGATCCTTCCTTTAACAAACAGCTGACAAATCCTTTGTTGCAGGGTAGATTATTGCGTTAATCACTAAAACGTTCATATATATTCATTCATGATTAGTCCCACACACACACAAGCACTTCGCTAGTGTTTGAAGGGAAAGGCGCGTTTATGTTTTACTAGATCCGGCACTTCATATTTGTTGTTTCATGAAGACTTCATTACGAAAAGGCTAAAGATCCGGACGAATGACGAATCTTTTATTTAAAAATCGTTATTTTCAAACAAGGTGCACTTTCAGATTTAAACATCAGCTGGATGTTTTCATTCACATAGAGCTGTGTTGATTACCGCATCAAAAGGTAATTTTCAAAAACTCATACTAAAAATGAGTAGTTTGAAGAAACAGTGAACGTGCTTTTTTTGAGTGTGCCCTGCAAAAAATGCTGGGTTCCACACAATCGATTTGTGTTGGGACAACATGAAGGATTCAAATTAACATTAGTTTTTACAAATTTAAGTGGATTTAACATAAAAATGTTGTTGTCCCCCCCAAAAAAACAATAATTGGGTTGTTTCAGCTCATTTTAAATATGTAGGTTGTACAAAACGGCAAACATCGTATCTCTTTTTTTGAGAGCATTTTGGCATTTTCCATAGTGTCAGTGCTTTTTTCTGATTTTCAGCTTCATGAATGGCTATGAATAGAAAAAGGGATGTACAATAATGCTGGTGATAGCTGAACTTGTCTTAAACTCAGCTGATTTTTTTCCTAAGGTATTTCATTAGTGTGAGAATATAGAATTGATGTACGCTTCCTCTTAAACAGCCAAACTTAACACAAAGTAGCTAAAAATTTTGCAAAGCAACCTACAGAAACAGGTTTTTTTTACTTGACTCTCACATGTGAATATGCTAAGTCTGCAATTCATGTTTTGTATTCAATATGAGCAACTGCAAGATAGAAATTGTCTTTGAAACTCACTGAAAATTAGTCTGATTGCTATTACCAAAGTTATTGCATGTATAGTTGAAGTAAGAATTAGTAGCCCTTCTGAATAATTATCCTATGTGTATATTTTTTTCCCAATTTCTGTTTAACGAAGAGAAGATTTTTTTTTAGCACAATTTCTAAACATAATAGTTTAAATGACTCTTTTCTAATAACTGATTTATTTTATCTTTGCCATGGTGACAGTAAATAGTATTTGACTACATATTTTTCAAAGCACACTGTAAAAAATTTTAAGCCAGTTCAACAAAAAAAATCTTAGTACTAATTTCCTTCTGTTTTTTCTTGTTTACTCAACTTTTGAAACCATCAGCTACACTGACTGAAAATAATTTGTCAGTGAAACAAAAAATGTCTAGTTGAGTCAACTTAACATTAGTAGTTTTCTGGAAACCTGCACCTGCAGCACAACAAATATTTTTAAGTTGTGCAAACTGAACATTTCTTGTCTGCAGGACTGAAATGACAGAAGTTGAGTGAACAAGAAAATACAAAAGGAAATTAGTACTAAGAAATTATATGTTACCAGAGCAAAAGTTGTGTTAACTGAACATTTCTTGTCTGGATGGCCTGAAATGACAGAAGTTGAGTGAACAAGAAAATACAAAAGGAAATTAGTACTAAGAAATTATATGTTACCAGAGCAAAAGTTGTGTTAACTGAACATTTCTTGTCTGGATGGCCAAAAATGACAGAAGTTGAGAGAACAAGAAAATACAAAAGGAAATTAGTACTAAGAAATTATATGTTATCCGAGCAAACACACATGGCTCTGTTTTTTTAAGTTGTGCTGACTGAACATTTCTTGTCTGAATGGTCTGAAACTACAGAAGTTAAATGAACCAAAAAAATACAATTGGAAATTAGTACTAATAAATAAAATGTTATCGGAGTAAACACACATGGCAAAAAAAGACATACATTTTACCAAAACATTCATTTTCTTGCGGTTCTTCACTAAAGTACAAAAACAAGGTAGTGTATCTGTAAAAAAAAAAAAAAAAAAAAAAAAAAACAAACACTAAGTCAAATTAATCACAATTATATTAAATATATAACAATTACAGCACATCTCTGAGACTACCTCACACTATCAATTTTAATAACCTTAGAATATCCCATAAATTATTCACAACACCCTGCTGAAAAAAACAGCGTAAGCTGGTAAGGTATGTTTTGATGCTGGTCTCAATGCTGGTTTTGCTTGTCTCAATGCTGGTCTTGCTGGTTTCAGTGCTGTTTTTGCTGGTCTAAGTGCTGCTCCTGACCAGCATTGAGACCAGCAAGACCAACATTGAAACCAGCATTAGGACCAGCAAAACCAGCATTAAGACCAGCAAGACCAACATTGAAACCAGCATTAGGACCAGCAAAACCAGCATTAAGACCAGCAAAACCAGCATTAAAACAAGCAAGACCAGCATACCAGCATCAAAACATATACCTTCCCAGCATATGCTGTTTTTTTTTTGTTTTTTTTCAGCAGGGCAATTAGAGCAATCAATCTGAATTACTAGTTGCCTTGAGATATAAATCTTAGTATTTTGTAGTAATTCATTTCAAAATCTATACTTGCATAATTACGTTTTGTGCTGGTACCTTGGCTGGTCATGGATAAATATGATATTAAAACTGCCAGTAAAGGATCTTACTTTAGTAATAAGTGTTCCACTGTATACACCTTCAGTTCAAAATGAACGATTTATTACTATTATTTTGGTTTTGATTTGATTTTGTTTGCTTAATATAATAATAAGCAGTTGGAATATACGCGCTGTCACTTTAAGAGCCACCCTAGATAGTAAAATACACTTGGACCAGTTCCAGCTAGATTCGCTGCCGCATCCGAGCCAGAATCGGCCCGCGAGTAATGTGCGCTGCAGCCCGGAGCTGGCGCAACTCAATATACCTTGATATAAAACCTTTTGATATTATATTGGTACTTGATACATGGTATTACAACCATTTGAATTTATATACCAGCAAACGCAGGCTATAATGTAAAGGCAAAGTGTAGGCACTGCGTTCAACCTTTGAATAAAATGCAAACAGCATACATATCCAATAACAAAAATTATCAAACAAAGGACAAAATAAATAATAATAATAAACATTTATTGATTGCAATAAACAAATAATACTAAACTTGAATAAAATATTTTGTAGTGCACAAGTAATAATAAAACTACACAATAAAGACACACAGGAAGATTTAAAGACAAAATCTGAAATTGCACACATACACAGAAGTTTTTAAAACAACCCTGTTTTCCCAATAGACTTGAATTAAAAAATTGTACAAGACACATCTTAAAACAGCTTAATTTTATATAAACCTGAATATAGAAACCAATTTAAGATATAGCAAGAAACATCTTACAAATACCCATGACAATATGTAAAATATACAAGTCAAAATTGTAAAAAGAACTGCAGAATTCTTAAGAAACATTTTTAATAAATGTAATAAATAAAACATAATAATACATTTAAATGAGTGAGATGATTATATATATATATATATATATATATATATATATATATATATATATATATATATATATATATATATATATATATATATATATATATATATATATATATATATATATATATATATATATATATATATATATATATATATATATATATATATATATATATATATATATATATATATATATATATATATATATATATATATATATATATATATATATATATATATATATATATATATATATATATATATATATATATATATATATATATATATATAATTGCAAATAAAAGAAACAAATTACCCAAGTATCAGGGAACATCTTAATTCACTTAAAATGTTGTTTAAAAAATAAATTATTGATGTAGACATTTGACACATTAGCTTTCTCTTCTTCCCTCCTTCCTCCAGCCCTGTCAGAAGCACGTTGTAGCCACCTTGTAATGCATTTTTCCACTTCTTTATCAGTGATGTGGTATGGACATTTCTCCTCACTACATCTGTGATTAAAAGATAAACAAACAATTAGTAGTGAAAAAGTACAAATGAAAAAAGAAAGATGCTTGCTCTCATATAAGTACAACCTAAATGGGACTATATATAGATGTTTTGTTCCTTTGATTAATGATTCAAAGAAATACACAGATGGAACTGCCCCTAATTGTACTGAAATGTATATTTAAAACCAACTTACTGAATAGACAGTCCTAAGGGAGAGTGCATGAAAGCCCACATTTTGGTTTGCCCTGCTCCAGTTAATTTGTTCAGCCAAAAAGTGAGCCAAAAGCTTTCCCGGGACACACCAAACTACTTAGTGGAAAACACCAATGATTCCAAAGTAGGCTACCTACGAAGCAAAAAAAAAAACACATAAATAAATAAATAAATAAATAAACATAAAACACTTAGAAATAAGCAAGAAACTTACCAGTTTATTCATTTGTTCGGGCTGCTCGTTTAGTTGATTTTCAAGTTTTTCCAAATCAAATTGGACAAAGAAAGGTCAAATGTGTCTACATCTGGAATTTCATCACGTCTGTTTTGGTTTTGCTGATTTGTGAGAATCAGGCACAGTTGCTGCTTTATGACGTAACATGATTTTAAAACTTTTTTTCAGTCGTGCTAAAAAAGAAAAATAACAAATTAGTATAAATCAACCTGTTGCTTATTCTCATGCAACTTGTGTAAATACAACAGTGGGTTAGACACTGCTGATATTCTCTAGTTGATCTTTACTTTCTAGCTGCATTAAGCCATTACAAATTTAGTGACGTCTTGAATTCTTACAAAGACATGACGAGTTGCAATAAGTTGTCTTGATCTCCGACTGCACTTGAACAAGGACTGTAAATGTTCATAGGTTTACTGGAATGTACAGCATCTGTGCATCTTGATGGTGGTCTTAAGGATCCTGCCATAGTCATTGGTGGTGATGGTACTTGCGGTGCTGCATCAATTTCTGAAATCTTCATATCAGTTTTTTCTCCAGCCTCTTTGTTCCAAATAATTTCTCTTCATCACGTTCACTATAGTTGTGTCTTTAATGCCCCTTGATCAGATACATTTACAAAACAAAACATTATTTTAGTATAGTGCAGGGCACTAGATCAATGACAATGGCAGTGTAATACATCAATGACATAATGTTGACAGTATGTGTTTAAAATAATTGCAAACAAACCTGTTCTTTCTTTAGGTGTATGACGGACGATCATCGTCCTCATCTGTCTGCAAGCCAAGCTGAGTCGAGCTTCCTCATGTGTGTCTATAATAAAACATCACATTGTTGTTAACCTCCCCCCAAAAAGTTAAAATCCTGAAATACTAACAAAGTTAATTAATGGCTATAATACCTATGGTGTAAATAATCAGCACACTGAAGGTTGCACAGGATTTATTCAGAGATTCATGCAGAGAGACAGCCTTATGAATCTTAGACATAGATTTGTAAGATGGCCAAGCACATGCATTATTCGGTACCCATGAAGATTAACCTACCATTGTGGAAAATGTTTGATGATGATGATAGCCAATAACAATAAACCATTTCAGCTGTTTGTGAAGCAATTAGTAATGTAAAGTCTGAAAAGCTCAATCTATGTTGAAAATGTATCAGCAGTTTACAGGTTATAATGGACTTTAATCACCCAACTATAACATGCCTATTCACATGTTCATAAGAATGTGCTATTGGTCTCTGTGATGTGCTACAAAATGACCTCACTAACCTTTGTTAAACAAGAACAGTAAGACTTAACCGAAAAAATATTCATTTATACCCATTCATTTAAATCAGAAAGTATAACTGTCAATAACCAAAAAATAAAACCCATCAAAATCTGCTTTAAGAAATTTAGTTTTACATGTGCAAATTACAACTTGAACATAAGATATAATTGAGGCTAACACATATAAATTAAAGCACATACTAATATATTTCTCTTAATAATAGAATGATAATTTAAAGAGAACAGTAAACGATCACTGATGCACTGCATAAACAAGTTAAACAATAACTTAACAATAACCTAACACTGTGAAAATGTTTTAAGCATTAAATTCGCAAAGTATACAGTATACAAGCAGCAAAAACCTTACCTTTCTGACCGGAATCCACTGTTTTAAAACGCCAAACTTCTTTTTCTTCTTGTGATCATCATAGCGGTTGGCAACCAGCTTTTGGAACATTACCGCCACCGTCTGGATTGGAGTTTGGACCAAGAGTTGACTCACGCATGTGTTTCTTATGAAACCATACTTCTGCTTAAAAAAAATCAGTCTGCATGGAAGCGTGCTATCTCGAAAATAAGCGCATTTTACACTGTTTTCCCTAGATGATATATATAATCCATTTATAAATAATATTGTTTTGTTTGCATCTAAACATTGCGACCATCCACACTAAATGTTTTTATTATTTTGTTGCTGTTGTACCATATATATTTTCTCAAATTATCATTAAACGTGGAGCTAACAAATTACTAGATAAAATAAGAATTTAATCGGTTGTCATCAGTTACACAAGCCGAGTCCTTATACGAGCCGAGACAGACTCGGGCCAGATAGGGTTAACAGGAATCTGGCCAGTGTTTACAGCTGCATCACAAACGCATGTGCGCGAGCGAGCTGCGGGCCACACTCCGCCCGTATAACACTCGTTGATGCCGAGTTGGAGCCGGAGGCGCCGAAGGGCAGCCGAGCTCGGGCCAATTACTTCCTGCTACCCGGGGCATGGATATGATTTACGGCAACACAAATATTCATTCACTCTTATCACATAACAAAGAGAGATTATGTGAATAATCACTAAGCGCCGCATCTGCACACATTTTTGCGCGTATATGATGAACATTTAGGAGGACAAATTTAGATGAAGTGTCTTAAACAAAGAACTACAATCTTTGCACACTTACTAATAAGATTGCTCTTCCACGGCTTGCCTCTTACCCCACCGAAGTACAATGCTTCCAGTTTCTCCCGCCTGAGACGTTGACGTTACGTAAGCGCAACCATCGTAACGAGGGCGTGGTTTAGCTCAGGACAGAATGATGCTATATCGTCCTTTGAGAAACATATTTTTGAGTGCGTGGTTTATTTTTAAATATTGGCATATCAAAGTATGCCTTTCTTTTTTTAAAGGGTAATGAATAAACACGAGATGATAATGTGTGTGCAAGCTTATTTCTGCAAATGTGCACCAAATAAAGTTAAATTGCAAATGAAAAGTTTCAAATAAAGTTACTATAAGTATTGTAGTGTTTTTTGTTGTTTTAATAACAATGTGAAGAATAACGATATTTATTATTGTATTAATAATAATAATAATAATAGCATTTTCACTTAGCATTTACTTTTTAATACAAACCATGAAAGGTTCTATACTCATTCATTCATTTTCTTGTTGGCTTAGTCCCTTTATTAATCTGGGGTCGCCACAGCGGAATGAACCGCCAACTTATCCAGCAGGTTTTTACGCAGCGGATGCCCTTACTGCCCCAACCCATCTCTGGGAAAAGGTTCTATACTGCCATTGATAATTTTTTTAGAATATTTAACATGTTTGAAACCTTTTCAATCAACAAAAGGTTATGCTACTTGTATATTCATTGCATTAAAAAAGTCAGAGATTGACTTAACACAAAAAAACAAGTTGGCAGATGCTTTTTTGAATGAACTAGCAAAGTGTTGCTCACAAAACTCATCTTTTTAACTTAATGAATAAAATCTTTGTTTAAGTTGATTGAATGTGTTAAATGAAGTTGTACAGACTTTTTTACAGATTTTTGCTGAACCAACAAAAAAAATCAAGCAATTTCAACATTTGTCAAGTTGGATTTTTTACAGTGCACTAGTATTCAGCTTAAAGTGATATTAAAAAGCTTACCCAGGTTAATTAGATTAACTAGGCTTAGTTAGGGTAATTAGGCAAGTTATTGTTCTGTAAACAATCTGAAAAATATTGTTTAAGTGGGCGAATAATTTTGACCTTAATGTTTAAAAAAATAAAAACTGATTTTATTCTAGCTGAAATAAAACAAATAAATAAACTAATACATTGTTTGCAATAATTTATGAACAAATCTGTGCTGTTGTTTGTGTTGTAATCAAAGAGGGCATTTCGCAGAACCAGGAAATGCTTTGGGTTAACTAGAAAACATGTTTTTGAAAATGTTTGCAAGGTCAGCTGTCTTTGAGATGCATGTCAGATATTCGTCAAAGAAAAAAAACAACATTTATACACTTCTTTTAAGATGTTTTTTTCTGTTTCTGAATTTCTGTTCATCTTAAAAGAGATATAAGTTTAATATAACTTCACTTTAAACATGAATTGCACATTGTTACTTTGACCCCATCAGGAACGAAAGTAACACAGGAGTGGGTCAAAAGTAACAACACTATTTACTATATTTATTGGCTTACTTTTTGCATTTAAAAACTGAAATTTGGACCCAACCTGCAGTCACGTGATATCTGGCAGCTCCAAGGGTTGCATGCCATATTTGCTGTTACAGCCTGGAAAACAAATGTTTTCAGGCCTTCGAGAAAATTGCTTTGTAATTTTCGTCCAATGTTACTTTCATCCCGCTCTCCCCTGACATCCTTTGGAGGAAATAAAAAACAAGTACTATTAAAGTAAATAGTTACAGGTTTTAAGCTTTATGCATAATCTTATTTTCTATTCAATAGAACAAATTATCTCAAATATGTCTAGAACAAGCGGAGGATGAGTAAATAAAGACAGAATTTTCATCTCTTTAAAAACAGCATGAGATGTGACACTAGGGCTGTGCAATTAATCGAATCGCAATCGCAATTTGAAACGATGTGATTAGCTAATCGCAAGAGGCTTCGATATGAATTTTGTATTTACTTTTCCGCTGCCCAGAGCAAATACGTTCATGGTGTCTGTGTATGACAGTCTTACTAGCCAATTAAGTGTGTGCAGTTTATTTATTTATTTATTTAAATGCTACTCATTGGATGTAACGTCATTCAATGCGACTATAGTCATGACTTTATGGAGTGCTTATGACCTACTAACTATTCTTTGCTTTAAGAACATGTAGAACATGTAACAAATTTATGCAGAGTTTAGATTACATGATTTTAGCCCTGATTTTGAATCGCCGACAGGTTTTAAGAAATTACCGACAATTGCCTGAAATCACAGAAAAATTGGTGCTCGTTCACGCAATTAACAATCACACAGTAAGAACTATTTAGGATGCAATATGATAGAATTCCAGATGAGTCGCCGATGGCAGTGAGATATTTGGCATGCTAAATATCTGGAGCTGTTGGCGATTCAAACCATGCCTTGTGAAAAGTTTTTTTATTGAAAATAACATCCACGATCAAGTCTCAAGTCTCTAAAGCTAAAGCCTTCTTTTTCCATTATGTAATTAATAACGAAAGCTATATTACGTGACCTCATGTTGTTTCCATGTCATTTCTCGCGTTTGTTTGGTTGTGTGTCGTAGTTTGGACAAAGTTGTCAGTTATTCTTCCTGTTTTTAAAATCATGCAGTTTGAAGTCAAGCATCCATTTTTATTTGCGCTTACAGTTTGCTCTACAGAAAAATTTGTGTTTCATTTCTGAGTATTTAAAAACAAATTTGAATAAGTGTTTAAGTAAATTAAAATCTTTTCAATTCCTTTTTTGAACTAACACTCGCTGCATTTTAGCAATAAGAAGCTACGAAACAGATTACTGAGCTGAAGCTTGACTACAAAATTAAATCACAAATAAAATCGAAATCGCAATATCTCTCAAATAATAATTTGAATCGATTAGTATATTTTCTCCAAATCGCACAGCCCTATGTGACGCAGTGTTCAAAGAAACACCCTTTACAACATGGTTTTACAATGAAAATGATCTTACAGATGTGTATATTTATAATATATGTAAAATAAATAATAGATATAATAATTATTTATGCAAAAACCACTGTTGTCATTTAATAACTAACCTTTTATCATGAATCCTTTCCAATTTCTTTGTAAGCAAACATTGCCAGGTGAATAAACATTCACACACACACACGCACACACACACACACACACACACACACACACACACACACACACACACACACACACACACACACACACACACACACACACACACACACACACACACACACACACACACACCAAACTGCTAGCAGCAGACATAAGCCATGCATTGTTTGAATATATTATTGGAGTTTCTAGTAACCTGACCTGTTTTTTTGTTCACCTCATTTGCACATGGTTGTTTCTTGTTCAAAATGTAAATTTAAAATTTCAACAAAATGTTTGCATGCAGCAAAAACAGACCTAAGTTTAACTCATAATCCACATTAAAGTCATTTTGATAATAAAACATACTTGACCATGTTTAAAACTGAAACCAATTAGTGCCCTCAGGATAAACCACTCCTTTTAGTGGAAAAACAGGTTGTTGGACAGTCATGCTTTTTTATTATAACAAAGTGTGGTAACTGTCAGCTTTGGAATGTTGCTTAACCTGGCAACTTAAAACTCCTAGTTATTTGTTGCTGAATTATTTTCTTGAACTTATTTGAATGTGTTTGGACAGCTGTA